ACGCCATCAGCATGAAGTTAAGCAAGACAAATTTCATTCGCTAAGCTTGCATGCATGCAGTAATGTCGCATGCAATACGAATAACGCGTATTTAAACCTCGTCGTATTTGCGATCAGCGTCCTCAGCCATGAAGGTGAACTCTTTTAGTTGCTCCTCAAGCTGCGAGATTCGCTCCTCATCGGCCACTGTGCGATTTTCCAAAACCTTGCAGCCACTGAAAGGGACAATAGACCAAATTCTCAGAGGAAAGTAGACGTAAACACGTTAGAAGATACCGATTTTTGCAAATCATCCGGTAATCTGCTGGACTTAAAAGGTCAGACGGCGATTTGCGAACCCGGAAATCCCCTGAATTACACCCGAACCGATTACCACCACAGTCAGAGAGGGTTAAAATGGCGACAGACAGAAAAATAGATTCCCCTTTTACCTCTTCGAACTTGGCCTTCGCTTCGGCAGCCTCCTTCGTGGTTCGCTGGATCATAACAGTTAGCTGCTCGATGCGGTCGTCGTCAGAGACTTGCCGACTCTGAAGGGCACGTCGGAAGCTGGTACAAACAAAAGCCGTTTAAATGAAAAGAGCACTGCTACTTCCCCTATTCGATTACGTACTTAGTGCGAAAGTATAAAGTCCTTAAGAAGCACACATTAAAAAAATCGTCACTATCTACAAGTTACACAAACACCCGCACGCAAACAAAACGGAAAATGCTAATCAAGCCTCAGATTAAAGTAAGACTACTTTAGATTTCACACAAAGGCGAATGTAACAAAAACCAACAAGTCCGCTAAAGCTTCAATTATAGTGAAAAGCTCCTAATCTTGCTTTATATGGGGAAAATCGGTCAAAATTATGCCATGTGTTGTAGACCCGAAAGTGTGCACTCATGAGGGCGTTGTTGAATATGGAAGAAAACACATGAAAGGAGAATACTACTGCCTTTCGCTACTATCTAGCTGGTATTTTGGAAAGGGTTAATAATAGCTGACCAGAATCAAGGAATACTAGCAGAGGCAACCGGAAATCAAAGACTGACGAATAAGCAATCGAAGAGCAGCAGTAGAGTAAGCGAGTTCAGGCCTCAATGGCACAATATACAAATCCCTTGACACTCAGAAGTGTGTGAAAAAGCATGAAGTCCTTTGTCGCTGCATATAGTTTATGGACTGGACCGCGAAACAAAGACCAGATTTAAAACGAGAGAACAACTAACATAAAAGACGGAATCTCGGGGTGGACAAAACCCCGGCCGAGAACGTTCCTTATTAGCTAATCCAGTATTTTTGAAACAAGCGTCGTCAACGATAGTCCGTGTGCTTTTTGCAGGCCCGTTCTTTGGTTGCAGTTGAATTTATACATCAACCGCGAATAACACACGTCGGGACACCTTAGAGTCAGTAAAATGTACAAAATCGGGCGACAGCCTCACAAATTTAAGCATGAATATTGCTCAACACGGGTTGTAAAACTTGGTATTAGGAGTAGCACGCACCGCTCGCTTTCGTCGGCAGCCTTGCTGGCCTCCTCGAGTTTTACAGTCGCATCAGTGAGACGAGTGTCCGTGCTTTCGAGTTCATCCTCCAAAAGTCGAATACGGCGTTGAAGAGCAGCAACCTCACCTTCCGCCTGTGAAATAGGGAAGATTTTAGAAACCTTGTAGCAGGAAATGTGGAAATCTGCAATTGGAGCAAAACATATGTTTAATCATCACCTTGGTCTTTTTTTCCCGCTCGGCCTCTAATATCTTATTCTTTTTCTCGAGCTCAGCACTTAACGAATCAACAGAATTTTTGAAGGTAAGAAGTTTCTTTTTCAATGTATCCAACAACGACTCAGCAGTAGTAGCAGCCATCAGTTCACGGCGGGATAGAGGTTATAATCTTTTCAAACTGCGCGCCCTCACTTAAACAAGCGATTCATGAAAAGCAAATTCGTAGATATTCCAGTTTACTAAATATTTTTATGCATAAAGAAGAACAGACGAGCACCCGAGCCATTTGCTTGTTCGGCGGAGCTTTTGAACCATGCAGGAACTTAGTGTCAGAACAT